CTAAAAAAAGAAACTAAACATCTCGACTGTTGATTTGCAACTTAAATTTTCTCAAGCTCATAGCGTGGACGTCCATGTCATCACTGCAGCAGTTATTATATATTTTACACACTCGAGAAATTGCGGAATTTGAGCCTGCCTTGGTATGACGAAAAGGTGGACAGAGAGGTGCGATTGGTTTACGTGGATATCTAACTAATATATCTAAACTGGCACCCGAAATCTAATTCTACTTAATAAAAAAGGGCAATCGATTTGGTGGTTCAATAATTTATAAAGAAAAACCATATCGGAATTTTGTCTCCGTTTCTCTAAAGTTGCCATTTCAAAATGTGTTAGTCTAGTGTTGTAACTTACTGTACGTTTACCCAAACCCACCGTGAATGCCAGGCTTCATACAAACCTCTTTTGAATACGCTCAATCCGTAGTAAGTGTGTTGAATAATGAGGCCGCCACACCACACTAGCGTATTCCAAAATACTTCTAACAAGACTGTTATATAATATTTATTTCGTTTTATCATTTCGAAAGCTCTTTGTATTTCGTATAATAAACCCTAACATTCTAGAAGACTTTTTTATCGTCTCCTCAATATGTTGAACAAATGTGAGTTTACTGTCCAAGAGCACCCCAAGATCCCTAACTGTTTCAGTCTCGTTAATGTTCGTTTTATCAATTAAATATCTTGATGAAATTACATTCCTTGTTTTCCTCGTGAATTTGATATGGTTGCATTTGTTTATATTAATATTGAGCCCATTCAACTCCAACTTAGTCCAACATTTCTCCAATTTTTTTATCCCTTCCGAAAAATATGATTTGTCGAAGTCATCAAAATAGGCATTTGTTTGTAAGATGACTTCGTCGTTGGAGTCAAATCTCTTTCCGCCGAGCCATTTTTTCAAGTTTGGAAATAAGAAATAGTCACTTGGGGCTAAATCTGGAGAATACGGCGGATGAGCGAGCAATTCGTAGCCCAATTCATGGATTCTTGCCATGGAAACTGCACATGTGTGCACCCTTGCATTGTCCTGGTGGAAAAGAACTTTTTTCTTAGCCAAATGCGGTCGTTTTTTTTAAGTTCCTCATTAAATCGACTCAATAAGTTGGTATAATATTCGCCATTGATTGTTTTACCCTTTTGAAGGTAGTCAATGTGGATTATACCGCGTGCATCCCAAAAAACGGTCGTCATGACTTTATTGGCTGACAACCCATCTTTGCCTTCTTTGGCGCCGATTCACCCCGAGAAACCCACTGTTTTGACTGCTGTTTGGTCTCCGGTGTGTTGTGGTGAATCCACGTTTCGTCCACGGTTACGAAACGGCGCAAAAACTCGTCCCTATTACGGTTGAACAACGCCAAACATTCCTGAGAAGCTGTCACACGGTTGCGTTTGTGATCGATTGTGAGCAAACGCGGCACCCATCTTGCGGAAAGCTTTCTCATACCCAAGTGATCATTCAAAATTGAAACCACTGAGCCATGTGAGATGCCTATGGCTTCCACAATCTCTCTCACTTTCAATCTCCTATCGGATAAAACCATATCATGAATTTTTTCAATTGTTTCGGTTGTAGAGACCTCAACTGGGCGTCCAAAACGTTCGGCATCTTCCGTGCTTGTACGGCCACATCGGAATTCAGTAAACCACTTCTTTACCATGGAAATGGATGGTGCAGAGTCCCCATAATATTTATCCAGCTTAGCCTTGGTTTGAGTGATTGTTTTTTTCCGCAAAAAATAATGTTTAATAAGCACTCGAAATTCGCTTTTTTCCATTTTCTTTTCAAAACGCGCGGTAGTCTGCTATTAACGACTGTAAAACACAAATTAAATGACGCGGCTTGTTGAAATTTTGACAGATGTCAACTGACAGCTGCCTGTTGAAAGGTGCAGTGTTGCAATTTTAATTAAAAGACGGGAAATTAAAAAAGTCACGAACTTATTGACCCGCCCTCGTATGTTGCAGTTTTTTTTACATAAATTTGATAACTTTTATATTTATTAGGACTGTAGTAATTATATTATTGTGTTTCTAATCAAAATTAAGAAAGAAACGATGGCTAAGAGAGCATTTAGTAACAAGGAACACCTTTTCAAGTTGAGATTGCCAGTCAACATAGCCTAATTGCCTAAGAAGATTATCTATAATAGTATAAGGCTTTAATAGTGTTGGAGAAGGATGAAAAAGATTATCTCGGTGGAAATAAAATCGATTGAATATTTATTGTAAATCATCAACGAAAAAAGACGGCTATTACGGCTACCGCTTACAAAATTAGCTTCGATTTGGTTGACATTGGCTTGCACTCAATGTTCAATGTAATATGTTTATTATATTGAGTTAAACCTAATGTAATTTAACGTTGAGTGCATTCTGATTAATCTCAATATCAATCAAATCGAAGCCAATTTTGTCACGCGGTGGGCTTGCTGGAAACCATTGAAAACAGATTAGAGAGAATAGATTTTCTCTTCATTTTATACTATGACTTCTTTAAAACCAGGCTGTAAGCAAAAAGAATCTAATGACAAGCAAAACTATTATTGTGACACTATCGAGAATCATTTAGAATGCAACGAAAGTTTTGCATTCTAAATGAATTGCGCTAAGCAAAATATGAATCAACACTAGCTCAGAAACTCGGAAGATTACTAACAGCAGTACATAGGTATATTCTGTCCCAAAAAAAGTAACAAAAATAAACAAGAACTGTGTGCATAGGTTATTCTCTAGAAACAACATTGTCAAAATAACGGCCAAGTGACAGTCACACTTGCAAATGGAGGGTCCTGGGGAACGACTAAAAGCATTGATTAAATATGTAAACAATAAAAAATGATTAATTTTTAAAAACAATATCAACAGATTCATGTGTAAAATCTATAAAGCGTAGGTTATAGTTACGACTACGGCTACGTCCATGATTTAGGCGGTCGCACCCCTGGACCGGAAACGAGTAAAAAAAACACGTTTTATATATGGGAATTCCCTTAAACTTCTTTTTTAGTTTTATTTGTTATTATAGTGGCAACAGAAATACATCATCTGTGAAAATTTCAAATGTCTAACTATAACTGTTCATGAGAAATAGCCTGATGACAGATAGACTGACATGCGGACGGACAGACGGATGAATAGACGGAGGGATGGAAAAAATCTTAGCAATAGGGTTTGGTTTTTTATTCTTTAGGTACGGAACTCTAACACTAATCTGATTACAACAAATTTTAACTGTAAATCGTATATATATTACTACTTTTCATATATTCTGTATATTCCTCTTCCTCAATAAAGTTTAAACCCTCAATTTTTTGTATTTTTATTAAAAAGATGCATTTAAAATGTTTTGCAGTGAGAAATTGTAGAAGAATAACGGTACGGGGTTTTAAAGATAATTTTATGTTGGCTACCAGGAAACCACTTTCTCGAAATTAATAAATCCCAATAATAAACCTTCACTTTTGCATCTTGTGAATTTTGTTACTTACCAGTGAAGTGGTATTTCTTTCTTATTAACTTTCTTATTAACTCGGTCTGAAACCATTTAGATAAAATTTGATATGAAAAAGTATGAGATATTGAACAAGATATAGAATAGATTTCATATAAATCCTATGAAAGGAATAAAAAGGCCAGTAGAAGTTTATATGGGGATATTTTATTTAATTACATTCTTATACTTTTCTTTAAAACCAAATAATTAGTTTTTATACCAATTTAAAAATAATGTAAACTTGGAGAAAAAACGACTTCAAAATGATCGAATAATTCTTATAAATTCAATAATTTATAAGAATAGGAATTATTAAAAAATTTAATTCTGTCTGACTTCAAACGAAGTTTAATTTGTCTGAGGTCTGTTTATTTATGAAAATAGATATTTTTATTATTCTATGTAAGAACCACCACATCGAATTCATTTTGGCAATGTAGTTATCCCCGTCTTTTTAAACTAAAAAAAACTACTGATCTTTTTAAATCAAAGTTGTTTAAATATAATGATATATAAATATAATCGAATGCAAAATCAGTGTGAGCACTTTATTTCTATATGGACGAAAGCAATGCTTAATTTATCTTCTGTGTATCAAAATCGTATTTGATAAATTTTGACGAGTGGGTGGTACGGCTTAGGTATAAAGGTTTTAAGTCTTAGATCTAAGGTTTTAGTGCTTCGATCTTGCTTCGATCAACGATACAGTGCCAAAAATGTTTCTTGATATAGGCCCACCTATTACTTCTATACTAATATTATACACAGGAGGTCTGAAGAAGAGAAGGTCTGTTTGCTTTGAATAGGTTCCGAAATTACAGAATCGGTTTGAAAAATTCACCTTACATCATATGCGGGTAACATAGGCTAATTTAGCCGGGCGAAGTCGCGTGAAAACATTATTAGATAAATATATTTAATTTTTCTACAGACTCAAGTTTCGTGTTGAACTTTATTTGCCATAACACATGATTGAGCAATGCAAAGGCTCACTCATACATCGTGTTCGTTGAAAGAGTAGGTACTACTTTATGAAGATGAATCTAGTCTGGGTACTTATTTTTATCTTAATTAGGTATGCACATTGCACATTATGTGACAAGATATGTTTAAAGTAACGATGTAACACAATTTCTTGTATTACATAGCTAATACTGCGATGTGTTCTCCCTGTAATTTATGCAAAGCTAACAAATAAAAGTATGATGACATCAACCAGCACACCCGAACAAAAGAACCGTCGCGTACTAATACTATCAATATAATATTATCGTGAAACTATTAGTTTTATCTTAGCATGAGGCGCACGACGGATCTTCCGATAGATTAGTTCCTAAGTATGGTTGCCGTTGATTATTATTTTGTGGGTTATATCTCTGGTAATATGCAAAGATCTCTGTAGAAGTACTTGGTATTTTTTTCTCAGCTTCATAAAATTAAAGGAATAATGCGTTAATATTATAAGTAATCATTTTTATTCAAATTAATTCAATTTTATTCAATTAAATACGATTGAGTGACATAAATGCTAATTAGGAACAGAAATCATCAAGTTTATTTCTTGAAAGGGAACTCTGGATGTTTGTCTATGCCAACGAAAAAGGAAAAATCACAGATGCGGCCATCTTCTCCGCGGTCAAGTGCAGCTAGTTCAAGCATTTCTTCTTTAGTAAGCGCGAAATCCCACAGTGAGATGTTCTGAAATAAAATAAAATATCTTACTTCTTCAATGATATTTATACATGTTCTTTACAATTAAATAGGGTGATTCTCTAAGTTTTATTACGTAATATACTATCCATAACATTAGTTAGATTTGAAATCAAAAGAAACTCCGGTGATACCTGTGTGATCCGTTCGGGATTTGTGCTTTTTGGTATGACGGCGAGTCCTCGCTGCAGAGTGTAACGCAGTAAAACTTGCGCTGGAGTGCGCGCGTGACTATTTGCGATACGCTGCACTGCCTCCAACTTCAGCAAGTCAGGATATTCGCGCCTGGATCATATTTATACGTCTAACACTCAGTTGCATAAACGTCCATTAAGATTTAATGATGACTTTAAGCTCTAATTTGAAAATATGTATTAATTATGTCGCTTTAAGCTAATAACAATTTTAATGGATATTTGTGCAGTGGGTGTAAGTAATGTAACAGACATGTGCTTAAGACAAAAAATAAATACTACGCCAGATATATAAGGATACCGCTTTTGTTGGTACAAAATATGGTTAATTTTTTTGGTGACAGCATAGTTTGGTAGAGTTCGCACCGAGAGTACACAGTTTCTAGGCATAGCATATTTGAGAATTTGATATTTCCGTTTGATCCTTCCATGCATTCCTGAAAATACGGCTCATAAAAGAGAAATGTACGGATACAACAAAACGGTCTAATACGATGTCTTTACAGGCGTCTCATTTTATAATTTATAAGTACTCCTGCAGATGTTACAAACATTCTATACACTTATTCTTAGAATAAAAATAACAATCATAATATGAAAATAAGTTCATACTTTTTTCGTTAAGCATCGAGGTCCTTTGTATAATTGCACTCTTAGGCACATGCCTAGTTAACTTAGGGGATAATACGCAAATAACGTCTTATATAGACAATCTAAAAACATGAGCTGTTCACGCTATCTTATAATGAACTAGCTATGTAGAAGGGGAATATGTTGCGGTGACTTTAGTCAGCTGTTGTTATAGAATGGCTGTTACTAAATCTAAGCCACCCGTACAATTAAACCGCATTGACAATCACTGGCTTGACTGCAACATGTCATTATAAATTTGATTTGTTCGGTACGCTTCTGATAGAAAGATGCGTTTTCTGATGCATTAATATATTTAATTTTACGGTATTGTAAATATCGTAAGTGTGCGAGAAGAACATATAACTACCCGGTTTTAGCAGATAAGGCATCAGCAAGTGCTTTGGATCCAAGAGGAGAATAGGCAACTACAGAGATCCCGAGCTTAGTCGCTGCAGCCACTAAGTCCTTTTGTTGGCAGAGCACGTGCACCTCCACCTGAAGAAATTATATAATTTATTTATGTATTTATTTGTAATTGTTACCTTTAAAAACTTTGAAAATATAACAAATAAGCCTTTCACGTACAAAGTTCACTGATGCGAAACAATTTTGATGATAACAATTGGACATGCCTGACGCGTGACGATAAGTGTTCGTCTTGTGTCGTTTATGTATGCACAGTTTACATTAAGCATCCATTTTCATATACTACGTACGATTTAAGTAGAATATAGTTCTTATAACAAGGAAAACGTAAAAATTTTAAAGTTTTCTTCTACTTTACAATCCCATCCAATAAAAACACACTTCAAAGAGTTTTCAGAGCTGGTGTTCATATTATAACTTCATTTTTTTTTTATTGAAAACAATATTTTAAACCTGTAGACAGGCCGGCTTGTAAACGCTTGTTAATCGCTTGAGCTGCTCCTCGTTGACATTGGATACTCCCACGTGACGCACGCGACCAGATTCTTTAAGCTTTAGGATTTCCTGAAATAGTAGTAGTATTGGTTTTTAGTGTTTGAATTAACTAAAACCTCTGTGGTAATATATAATAGTAGTGATTAACGTCGCTTCTATATTAGGCATAATAATAGGCGTTCAACAGAGCTACCGTCTATACATTTTTAATGAAGACAATTGATAAAAAATGACGATTATTGGTTTGACAAGAGTGTTACCAACTTAATCGTTTATCCATCGTAAGATCTATAAAAGTAAGTAGTAAAACGAAACGGAATGTCGTCATAATATTCGCTAAGATGTCGGGTAGTATGGAAAGAGTTGTGGTTAGATAGTTAGGCCATCGTGTCTATAATCGAGCTTGATGGCGCTGTCTGGAGTGATCAGCGCGCTTTCTCTACGATTCGTTTGTTGAGGCCAGTTACAGGATGGGTGACCAAAAATATATTTTACGAGCTCCTCCATGCTTTAAAAGACTCGTTAAGCCATTGGTCCCGGCTGCATCTCCGTTAATACACACCACCGCATTGGGTGCGCATGGAGGGCCATAGCCCATTCTCTCTATTCGATTTGATTCGAATCCATCATAGGAAAGGCCTGAATCCTAGCTATGGGGCAATAATAGTGGTGACGATTTATAATTATCCCGCTGACTCCGCACACCGGACGCGCCCACACGTAGCAAATTTGTTCATAGATTTTTAAGTTTGAAGTCGGTTCTACTTTTTATATATTTTTTCATACATTTTCATATGATTTAGCTTCCCGTAAGTGAAAGAATTTTTAAGATCTGTCCAGTGGTTATTGGCGGAAATATCGATGAACATACAAAAAAAACATACTACGCCATCGAACATATATAACCTCCTCCTTTTAGATTTTGAAGTCGATTAAAATGTCCTAAATCGAGTATCATATTGGGTACATATTTTTGGTTGGTATAAAACAATACCACATTTTGACTTCTCTTCTTCTGCATCGATTCAATAAAGAGAAGCTATACTTGTTGTTTTAATAAGTAATGTGCAAAACGATTTGTTTTAATGAAAATATTACAAACATTTTAATCATCTTGTACGTTCTGTTTATTGTACAATTACAGTGTTTTTATCTTATCAAACTGTATCATACGCTGGTGACATAGGCTGTAATTTACACGGGCGAAGTCTCGGGAAACAAAAACATGCCAGGTTGGTAGTCTATACTCTATAACCAATCACTAGTCCCACTGAATTTTAAAAGTTAATAGGTATTAATTTATTTCTTTATAATGTCATTTCATTTAAGACATTCTTATCTTTTCTTTTAGTACATAGTATACTTATGTTTATAAAAAAATGTACGTGGTCTTCAATACGTTATTAATATAGAATAACGTTATTAGGAAAATGTTTTAATTAAAATTAGTATAAGAAAATTAATGTATCGTTATCTGCGAGTATACTAATATTATAAAGAGGAAATAATTGATTGTTTATTGTTTGCATCGAATAGGCTCCAAATCAACTACACTAATTTTAAAAATTCATTCATCTGCATGAAGCTATATCATAGGAGGGTGACATTGGTAAATAATAGTAGTACAGTACAGTAGAGCGTCGATTATCCGAACGTCGATCAACCGAACGGCCGCTTATCCGAACTCCCGACTCTCGTGCGCGCACTTGTTTCGACTTCAACAATATTCAATTTCTACAATATTAAATCTGATGACTAATAAAACTGACACCACTTCATCTACTGCAAGTTCAGATAATGAAGATGAAAACATAATTGGTGCTTCAGAAGCGTTTACTTGCTTAGATATTGCATTGCGTTGGTTTGACACACAAGTCGAGAACGACCGGTATCAAATATATGTCCTTAAAAAATACGTGACCTAGCCGCTCGGCTTGCTTCGGCAGACGAAAATTGAAGATTTTTAAGCGTTAGTAAATTACACTTAATACTCTTCGTTTTTCACCAATATTGTACTTAGAATGTTTTGTTGCAAATACTTCAGTTTATTTGTTTTCTAATTCCTATTTTTCAATAAAGATATTATTATGAAAGTACATATGTAAATATGGATTTTATTCACCCGTGGATAAATAAATATGTATGGCTATATCAATACAGTTCGATTATCCGAAAAAAACAGTTTTTCGAACACCCCTGTCCCCCAATTAGTTAGGATAATCGACGCTCTACTGTATATAGCTAGTTTTTTAGTCTAAATAAACGTTCTTATTGAAAAATGCCCAAAAATTTATTAAGTGGAGTTTTTGGGCCTTTTTCATTAAAAATATTTTTCGGTTTAGCAAATATTTTTCGGTTTAGCAGCAAAATTGATCAAATATAATAAAAAAGAAACGTTTTTATTTAAATACGTAAAAGAAACAAATCTTTGAAATCAAAGTTTAGGCTTTAAATAGGTATTTATATGTATTTGGTTATTTTGGCATCTTCTTCTTCGTCTGTATTTTAAAATAAAAATGATGGTAAATAATTGTGGTGAATGCTTTTTAAAAGGTTTCTGCCTGTCTCATAAATACCAAATAAATAATAACTTGGAAAATCTGTTTAAGATTAAAAAAAAACATAACTTGTTTACCTAAGAACTTCCGACATCAGACTTCACAACTTCTTATGACCGGCATGTTTTATTGGTCGTCCTTTATAAGAAGAGGTTTTACAAATTTTATGTTACTCGAGGCAGACACAGTATCTGCAGCGGACGTGTTACTGAAAGTTTTCGGTGTATGAAGGAATAGTAAATTCTTCTTATTACTTTTCTCAAATGTATGTGATCTTTTTTTTCTTATCTTATTAGTGAAATGGCTTAGAAAAAGATGAACGCTTCTGTATTCATTTGCGTATTTCTTGAACTGCTTTTGCCATTTTAAGCTGAAAATACTTTGCAACGAGGAGAGTTGGGAAATGGACTTTGTTGGTAAATGTGAATTTATTTCTAAGCTGTTATTTGATTGAAGATTAAATTGGCATTCTAAATCACACACAGTTCTTGAAATCAAATTGTTCTGTTCTACATTTAATGGACTTTTTGATTGAACCTGATGTTTTATTCCTTCTTCTTTATTGAATCCTAAGTAACAAAAAATTTTTTCGATAAAAATATACTTTTTTTGCGTGATATAAAACTCATCAAAAGTCTACTGCCATAAGTTTATCGTATAACGCCGAATGTATGTGCGTAAGTTAGACTCGTTTTTAACTTTCGCGATATAATAAAATTTTATATGTACTCTTACGATATTTCTTTTGTAATACCTGCATTAAGAGTAGCGGGAAACTGTGACATCAATGTTGAAAGTGTTTGTTGGAAACTAGAGTTTGAGCGCAAGCTATCAAGTTTGATAGTGCAAAAATAAATTTCAGTCTCGTTTTCATTCTGTGGGTCTCTGGTATGAGGCCTTCGTCGTTTCTTTCGGCGTACATATTCCACGTTTTCTACTTTACGTGTAATCGTAGGCTTAGGCATAGGAGTTTTTGTTTTTCGAGGTGGTTTATCCATAAAGGTTTTGTCATAGTCCTCAGGAGTGAAACTCCAGCAGCAATTGCAACAACGGCACCGTAGTAGATCTATACATTTTCGTCTGAATTTACGACAACATCTTCCCACGCAGAATTTGCGACATTTGTGGCATATTTTGAATTTACGTGCACACCACCCGCATAGGCAGCAGCCGTCCCAGAAAGAGTACCAGCAACGTTTGCATGCCGAGGGGCCCGAGTTGCGGCACTCACCTCGGCAACTCACTCGCGAAGGGGACGGCGAGGGGTACGCAGCAGAGGACGATGACTGAGTCATGATGTAACTGCATTATCAAATAACTATTGTTTCCAATTTATGAACCGCGATGTTGTCTTTAGATTCTCACTTTCATTATTTTGGCACATTTTATTGATTCGTCATGTTTTAACAGGTAATGTATCTTCAAAATACGTCACAAATTTTTATTTTGTAAATAAGATTACATTTTTATTACTACATTTATAATTTTTCTCTATGATTGCTACTTAGATCTATGACAAATTCTGTCACATGTCTTGTGTCTATCAATTAATCAACCTCATTGCTCATATCTTCTTTCATTAAACGTTTTCCAGGAGCTTGCCTGGAGGTCACACATCTCCACTCCAATTTTTATTCTTAGGCTGTTTTAATTCTATTTACTCCTAACTTATTGAATAAATATATCATTTTTATAATAGAGCGTTCTTTATGGCAACTGCGTTTTTATATGAGTTGCATAACAAAATTTTAATAAGTTTAGTATATATTTTTGGTGTCTTCTTTGCTTTCAAGTGTCTATGTAACTGTATAATGCTTTTAATAGATGGATCCAATTCTAAAGAAGATAATATTGCATTAGAATCTGTTTTCAATTCAATGCTCTCATATGAATCTTTATTATTTTTGTAGCAATAACGTGAATCGACTGCATCGTCTCCTCCTGTACAACACGGGCATGTAAGCCACGGTGATATCAATTTAGACCATAAGTTCGATTTCTTATTTGACAAAGGTTTAAAAAAGGATGTCATCGAAGTGCTTACAGTCTGAGTTGTCACAATGGATGGTGCCAGATTGGCGTTATAATCGCTTTCTAGCTCTACGGGGAACAAAAAACTTAAATCATTAGGTACAAGAGATTCATTTTTCACAATAGACTTTTTGCTATCTATTTGTCGTTTAAAAGTTGGCGATTTGTATACCTTCGACCAAAAGAAGTGGTCGCCGTTTATTTTGTTGCTGCTCGATTGTTTCTTAATCTTTATCGGAGCGGCTTTTTTCAGTTTCGGCGAATACTTTGGATAGCTGCAATCTTTATACACCAACTGACTTCTACAAGAATTATTTGTAGTTAATTCTTTGAAATATTTATTTTGTGTTTTACCTTTTTTGTAATTTGGATAATCTGAATATTGTTCTAAGTACGAAATTCCCATTTTTTTCCTGTTTTAAAGATTTACAAGTACACTAATGATTTACATGCATAATTTGAAATATTTTGAAATAAAGGATCATACAATTTTCTCTATGAAAATATCTTTACTCTTTGGAAAGTATCAAAAACGTTGATCGAAGATCAAAGAAGGTATACTTTATGACCAAAAAGTAAACTACGAGTACATTTTTCAATAATGTCTCGTTTTGGGCGGTTTGAGTGTTGTGGTCAATCAAATCAAATGTGTGGCAAGATATAAACTTCTTGTTGTTTGGATGTGGTTATGTCGAAGTCTTGTCATTAGATGCTCATCACGGAATCTTACCAGTGTGCTGTGCTATTTATTTGAATGGTCTTTTAAACTGATATTTCATCTGAAAAATGTAATAATCTCCAAAAATACACGTGACAAAAAGTTTAAAGTTTGTTTTATTTGTTGAGTAGGAAATCAGTAATAATTATTTATTTATTGGATTACTCACTAATCTTTATGATTATTTTAAAGTGCTTTATCTCGACCCTCGGCTACAACCGACCTTTAGCAATCCGGGCAACTGCTCTAGCCACTGAGCTACTCAGGATGTAACAGGACTGACAAATTTTTCAAGCACTTGTTACTTTTCGGCACTACAGAGCGTATTTTCACGAATGTTCAGGTAATCCGCCGAGAAAAATATTTTTATGAACATTTAATCTTTCGATAAAGATATAAATTTGTTCTAATTATTATATTTGCTAAATTTGCATTCACAATGCTATACTGAAAAATATTCTTAATGACCTTTCGCAATTTTTCATACAGAGTATTTTTCAGTAAAGCGTTGTGAATGCAGAAGTGGTCAAATATAAAAGTAAAACTATTGTTTTATAATTTTTAATTAGGCCGTATTTGAAAGTAATTTTTTTAAACAAAACCCAATTTAAAGTGAGTTATAGTGATTTCTGATATACGATCTTTAAAAGTCTAGGAATAATGAAGCGTTGATGTCTTTTCTTCGACAAAAGCTTGTAACAGAATGTAACAATTTCTTATTTATTTTTATTAAAAAATCGAAATTGAGGGTATTGTAATCGTAAAGCATTTATACTTTTTATTTGGTTATTAAATTTTAAAATAATAAGGTGTTGGGTTATATCGGATGTATTTTTCGTTGTGTGGTTGTAAATTGTAACGTATCCACTCAAATGTAATTTTTATGTCTGTAAAACTTTTGGATTTTGTTAAAAATAATTATTAAGATATTAAAAATAGCGGAGATGAAACGTTACTCCATGTATGGCTCACTTAGATTGGTCGACAAGGCATGCGTAATGTGGGTGATTTCTAAAAGCTAATTCCATTTGTCGATAAAACAAAAACAGTTTAAATCCGACCAATAAAAATGAAGCAAATTAGCCCGTACTCCACAAAACATACCTCCTGATGGCTCATTTATATTGGTCCTGTCGACCAATATAAATGAGCCATCAGGAATAGATCAAGATTTTGCGTGACGATGTATAATTAACAAATTAAAACAACACCCACCTTCCAAACAGCAATCAGATCAGTGGTGAAATCCACGCGCATGGATCCGTCTGGATGTTTAGGGTGCATATCACCAGGCACATGTTCAAATGCAAACGGTGTATGTATAAGGTACATGTCTAAATAGTCAAGACCCAAATCCCGCATCGAGGCATCGAACCACTTCTGTACTAATTCGGGTCGGTTCCCTAGAATAGATCAACGAAACCACAACAATTACAATAATATCGTGAGTAAACTCCGAAGTAGCGACGAGCCACACACAATCCACTATGCGGGTTCATTGCGGATTAGGGCAGAAGACAATTAAAGGCGATCAAAATAACGCTTTAGTAATTATACTTGATCGTGAAGTTTTTAAAATTTTGCATTATGTCAAAATTTATATCATTAATAACTATTATGTGACAAAGCTCACTTCGTTGTATGACTGATTAAATGTTCAAAACCAGTTCATAACTTTAAAATGACCAGGGGCGCGACCGCCTAACTCATGGACGTAGCCGTAGTCGTAGCTATAACCTACGCTTTATCGATATTTCTTATGAATATGTTTATATTCTTTTAAAATTAATTGTTTTTTTTTAATTTATATATTTTATCAAACATTTTGGTTTGTTTTTCTATTCGAAATAGCATTGTTTGTATCAATTCGACATTTTGTAAATTTCGTTTAACTTTAATAATTCAGCAAACAAAAACAACTAAAGCATATTAAATATGTAAATAATAAAAAAATAATAATTTTAAAACAATATCAACAGATTCATGTGTAAAACCTATAAAGCGTAGGTTATAGCTACGACTACGGCTACGTCCATGAGTTAGGCGATCGCACCCCAGGTCCGGTCACCTGCATAGATGCAACGGCATAACATAACATGGATAAGCCTGTAAAATTGCAGACGATCACAGCCCACTGTTGTGCCATTTAAAATAAAGAAAAGGGTTTAAGGTCTTCATGATACTAGCGTTTAGAGTGAATGACCTGACATTGGCAGAATTGTGCGAAATGCCATTAATAAAAGAAGAAGAAGTAGAAGGCCATGAAAAAAAAAAATTAAATCAAGAAAACATTATAATACTGCAGATCGATTCCGTAAAACCAACCAGAATTCGAATTCACTCAAGTGATCGAATTCAAAAGTTACGTAAGTTTAATACTAATTCAAGACGCGCTTTCAAAGTAAATTCGGACACCTGAATGAATTCTAATTGTGGTTAGGATTTCACGGAATCGCTCTGCTTAGCGCCATACTTAAACGAAATAGAGGTACTTATTATTTTATCGTATCGCTTATCACCCCGACCTACGCCTATGTTTGGTAGTCTAGACGACATAGTTGGTAGTCTTAATACAGTTAGTAGTAAGCACGTGTCTTTACCTCCAGGTGGAAGTTTTGTAACGATGAATAATTCTTTCCTCCGGTTAGGATCTCCTCCGATCCACTTCTTGAGGGCACGTCCTAACGCAGCCTCGTTTTCGTAAACTGGAGCAGCGTCGAAGTGTCGGTACCCCGCCTCCAAAGCGGATTCCACTGCTTTCTCAAGTTCCTCATCAGATGTCTGCAATGTCAATAAAATTTTAAAACATCACAACTTTTACTGTTTATCTTCAAAATTATTTTGATTCCATATTAAAAAATTTACGCCCAGTTGCACAAATGTCCATAAGGTTAAATTACGACTTGTGTCATAAATGTCGTTATAAACAACTTATTTATTAGATTATAGTTAGTTATTAGATTGCAATAATCGGATTTATTAAAAATATTAATATATTTTATATATTATTCAAGAGGTATGTGGTATATTTTATAAATTTTATTTTAGAGGTAGATTATAACCGTCCTTATTATAACCGTAGAGAAAATAAATATTTTGATCATGGGTCATAATCATAATATCATCAGAACAATTTGGAAAATACCTATGATCACTATGAAAAGATTATTTTCCTGTTCTTATCCTTATTTTTTTTCAATATAACCTAGTCAGATAGATTGCCTAAAATAGGGACTACGCTTTGATTTTATATAATTATTATTATCAAAGATACTACGTTGTAAACATACAGTTTTATCTTTTTGTTAGATCGGTCATTAAGAAAGATATTTGCTTTAAATCTATGGTTACTTAAAATTACGTATAGGTATAATACTATTCTTTGGTATGTATGTAGTTTGTGCTACATAATTAGTACAGTCATTAGTACAGTTGTGGTACCGTCAGTGCTCTTAGATGTTTACTTTGATATCAAGATAAAATTGTCTGTCATTCAGTCGTCATTCACATTGAACCTATTTTGTGACCGATAACATATCTACTCAGAATATATGTCTGAGAAAAATACCACAACTGCCGCAACCTTCGAGTCTTTACCCCTGTCTTGACTGCCTTTGCACAAAAGTCAAATAAATTTATTATTAGTTTAAAAAGACATTACCGAATCAAATATTCAAATTTTGAACATTTATTAGAGCTTAAAAACAGTGATTCAAGAGGTTATAATTATTATTATGATTTAAAGGGCTATGCAGTTCCTTATGGAACTGTAGACTTCGACCTTTAATATCTTTTATGACCCGCCGCCGAAGTCATAGTAGCTTCTTTAGCCTGGTGGTGACTCGGTCATGACTTCCCGGATCTCATCCCTAGGGGAGGGTATATCGTAGGGGTTTTGTGTGTAGACCACCGGGTACCCATCACGCGGCTAACCACGAGGTGAATTCACGAAGTAAAGTCCCACTGTCGCCATTGTAGTGTTTAATGCATTTCCGCGAAGTCATAAAAAAAACGTATTATTATTACTGTAGTGTCATACTACAGTAATCTTATTACAGATGTTATTAAACAAATTGTAAGCAAGAACTCTATATCATACAATGGTAAAAAATGACAATATATTGTATAAAAATTTGTTTATAATGGTATATTGTGATATGTATAAATTAGTAGTGTTTAATGTCGACAAATTGGTATTTTTTTAAAGCTACTACAACTTTATGAGATTCTTGTTCCTACTTACATACTCCTACTTCTTCTTCTTTTATTAATGGCTTGTCTGCGCATTACGCACAATTCTGCCAATGTCAAGAAAATTATTTTCTCTTTGATATCAACTATGACAAGTTTGACACGGAAATTTAAGTTCAAGCAGTATTAAGTTATAGCAAATTTAAACAATAAATTCATGAGACGTGATGGCAATATCCTATAATTAGCGTATAGGAGAGAACGCAGTGATATTATGAAGCATTGGAAATTTGATAATACGTATGTAATCGTATCTAATAAATCGGAAAGGTATCATTAGTGATGTATGTACAAGGGGAAAGTAAAAATTGATATTCAATAACAAAATGGATGATCAAATATTTTAGGAACAATGTAAAGTAGTATGTCTGGCAAGTCCTTACAACAGTGTAGACCTAGTAGGGAAGCATTTTTGTTGACGACATGGTCTCAAGATAGTGACACTGGTCACCCTTCTACGTCCCGTGGTGCATCGCAATCCACCGGAGACTATGAAGAAACGGAATCGTTCTGCACCGGGAAATGTTCATGTGGCTCCGAAAATAATTACCTTTCAGAATCTTGTGAAAAACCTTGCACTATAATAGACTCTGCATCCAAACTACACATATCGAAATGGAGAAAAATAAAAAACTATTTCAATTATAATATAAAGAGAACGGCACCAGTTAAGAATTCCAAAAATAATAAGAAGCAGTTATAACAATAAAAATTCGAGACCTCGTTTAACTTTTATTGTCCAAACTGTAGTTTTGTTTTTTAATATGGGACAGTCCAAATTTTCTATTTCACACGAGTTTATTTGCATAAAATAGTTGAAGTATTTATATATTTTATATGCTTTTCTATTTTTATAGTTGCATGTCTCAAAAGTAGAAAAAATGCGCCTTATTTAATTAGATTGTAATAAAAAATTTTTCTCTTTAAATATAAAACAGATAAAAAAATTAAACTGACTTAAAAAAATAAATAAAGAGAAACGACTGAAAAGTGAGAAATAATACCATATGTTTTTATCTTCAATAAAATCGAAACACAAAAAGTGAATACACTAACAATTTTTTGAGGTCTGTGCCAGATCAAGAAAAATATCATGTATAGTAAAACAGAAATAGATTTTCTGATAGTGCTGTTTTACTTCTTACTTATAATAACACGGCTAGTACCTACTTCAAGAAATTATTGGTGTATCCAATTTTTGTGTTTCGATTTTATTGAAGATAAAAACATTTCAATTCAATGTCTAATTTATGAGAAATAAATTATCAAATATATAGACGCACCTACATACATATACATTTACAAAATATAGCACATAGGTTTAGAAGCGCATATAAACTAAAATATATAAATACTGCGCTATCAAAATTACATACATACCTATAGACCAAATTGATCGCCTGTTTGACTGAAGGTCGGTTATAAACGTACAGGTCAAATTAAAAACCTCTTTTTATATCAAATACAAAAAAGACAATTCATCTGTTTTTTGCTCCTGTTTGATAACCAATTTGATAGTTAATATAATAAAGCAATGTTAGTAACTCATTGGATTGATATTATCAATATTCATTATTTTTTAATTATTCGTTCAGTGGTTTAAAGTTAATAACATTCAGACTGTACATAATACATAATATTATCAAGATTTAGGAAGTGAAAACATATAATAGAATCAGAAATAGAAGAGGAACAGCAACTTATCATATGACAAATAAATTTAATATGAAGAATTTTGGGTTACTTGTAAATATAAACAAAAACTCTATCATTTCTGATTGGGCCAAAGTATACAAAGTAACATACTTACAAACTCTTTTTAGTGTACATTCTCACCTGCCATGTCCCAAAACCAATCCTTGGCATACGGTCACCACCTTCCAACTCGAAATATTCTGTATTGGCCATGACACTGAAGTTATATTTTTGTCACAAAGTTTTAAGAGTTGTATTGTGTTGACGTTCAACGGCCGCGGCTCACGGCGCTGCACTGTCGAGCATTAAGCATGACCGAGAAAACAGCCGTCTCTACTCCACCGACCTTGTACCGGTTTTCCGCATACTTCCAAAACAACTAGCGATATGTAAGTCCGTTATAACTGCGGTTTTGCATTATAAGTGCATGAGAAGTAGTTAAATTACCTAGATTTCACAATCTTTGTCGATGGTCTGATAATCGAAAATTTAGTAGATTTATTTATCCTCGAAAATATGTACCTTGTTGATTTCTATGTTATCAACTTTGTTAGGACTACTGTAGAATTTTATTATTTATTATAGCTAATATAAAGGTAGGTGATAAAGACACCATCGTCATTAGCCCGTCAATGTCTCCAATGGGCCACAGGCCTTCTCTATGAATGACTCACTCAAATTTAAACAAATGGCCGTGACCCACCACGGAGCTCAGTGTGCATTGGTGCATACGACTGCTGATAGAGACGCGCGCGATTAACGGCTTAACATGACTTCCGAAAAACGGAGGAGCTCAAGATGCAAGTCAGAAATTTTTTAATATCACGAAGCGTTTGAGCATTTGTCCTGTCTTTTTTATTAAGGAAATCAATTTAATGTACAAGCCTTTGGTATCTTCCTTTTTGAAAAATCTTGCGTGATCAAAACCAAAACATCAAAATGTTAAAAGTCGTTATGGGTTGATCTTCAGATTTGACCGTATGCTTTGTCTTGTCCAATCCAGTCTTTACTAACGACCATAACTTACCCTTTATCTATTATTAATACGAAGATCGATCAGTATTTTTCTAAACAGTAGATGATGTAATAAAATATTAAAAAATAATATTAATATTACAGCTACGTAAACACAAACGACATGTACCTAACTACCAACTTGTGTGTACGTAGTTTGAAACTACAGAGACACTGTTTATCAACGTAAAATAACTTAATCCCAAAATAGTCCTTAAAATAGGTTTTGTATATTTTATCAAACATATTATGTTTTTATATTTGCTACTAATGTATACCCCTTTAATGTTATATTTATTCAATTTACATAGATAAAGAGTTCATTTTAGGGGGTCGTAGTAAACAAGGATCCCTTAAAGTTTCGCCATGTTCGTCTGTCTGCGGCTTAGCTAAAAGACTATTGATTCTAGAAAGTTTTATTTAGCAAGAGTATACACGTCAATTATGCCGACAAAGTGGTAAATAAAATAAAAAAAAATTGTAAGGGTCCTCCCCTCTATGTAAAGTGGGGATGATATTTTTTTGGCTTTCCGCATTGTGTGCGGCAAGGCCGTTTTTTATATTTAGTAAACCGTATTGTGATTTATTAAGCTTTAAAGAGCTAATTTTCATTAGCGTTAAATTAAAAAATCATACGTTACGGCAGTAGTGTGATATATATACCGGAGTTAAAAGGAAAACTATCATACTTAAGTTGGCTTTACAAGTTTACGAGTAATAGTCGACCATTTGTATTTAACCCGAAATTTCGAACAACTTTATAGAAAACAACAAACGTGATTTTTATTTTTGATCAATTTATATTTGACTCTTTAAGGGAGAAATTTAAGGAAATAGACATTATGACTGTTGTTTCTCAATACATATACGAGAACTTAATGTACGTTCCTAAAAATATTAGTTTGTTTTCTATATAAAAGTGATGTACACAATTTTAATATAAGAAATAAAAAAAAATTAACGATGCCTGTCACTAGACTGCAAAAAGTTAATAACTCATTCAAGGGTCTTTGTGTGCGCTTCTACAATAAGGTCCCAAGCAAAATACAACAATTAGATATCATGCAGTTTAAATCTACTGTTAAAAAAATACTTATTAAAAAAGTATCCGATCTTATTACAAGGTATCCGATTATATAACAGATAAGAACGCTTGGACTTGAGATGATCCAGCAACTGGATAAGTGATTACTTCTAAACTCATTATCTTGTTTCCATTATTATTAAATGATTATGTTATCATTATAAGACCATAGTTTTTTTTTCTATCTCTGTTTATAATGTATTGATCTGGTAATGACATGGTTTTTGTAAATGTCATTACTCTTATTAGAGCTGGTGAATTTCTTGCTCGTCTTTCTTATCAGCCAAAAGACGTCCTGGACGAGTGGTAGGGTAAAAAAATTTTGGCCGATTCAAAAGTACTTTTGAGAAGTCCATTTGACTAAAGATTATTTTGACTCTGAAAAATATTCCCAGATGGGATACCATCTCAGGGTGCCAGGGACCAAGTGGATCTTTTAAGAATTTTTCATTAATAAATGTGTTTTTTTTTACTTTTTTCAATAGCTAATAGTACGAAATCCTTTATGCGTGAGTTCGACTCGCACGTGGCCGGTTTTTTATTAGTGGTCAATAGACATGATTTTCTAATCAAAAACAGAACCGAATTTTGTTTTTGATTAGAAAAAAAAAGTGAGAAATAATACTCGTACAATCTTAAAAGCGTCTTAATTATTCAAGAAACTGTTGGTTGTTACGAGTATTTGATAACCGCCCTTGAACATAATATAACTTCCTCCTTTTCAATTTTGTAGAGAGCGCTTATTCAACTCACCTCACAAAAAAGTGCCATAGGCAGTTGCCAAGTATGCCTATATGGACGGGCCGATCCTGATTGTAGAATAAGTAATTACTATCATGGGCGAATATTATTTTGTTCATGCTATCGGATCGGTCGAGTCATCGCTGTAGTTAATGTTACATTGACAATATAGTTGTAATGGGGACATTCTGTTATTGTTCTCGTTTTTGTGCAAGATATTGACAATAAAGCGATGTGGCTCTTAAGCCTGCCGCCGGCATATCAATTGTATACAAAACGATTAAACGTAAAGAGCTCTTGTTGACCATAAAAGATTTAATCAACTGTACAGAAGAATGATTATATTCGTATCTATTTTCGCTTCTTTTAAGTATATGAAATAGAAAGTTTATCATTAGAAAACATTTAGAAATCACAATATCGGTTAAAACTTTAAAATGTTTCTATTACATTTGTTTCATAAACTTTTTGATACATAAATCTATTACTTCTTCAAAATACTATACACAATGAAAATTACAAAACAAATATATTTTCGCAATATAGAAATATACCTATATAATTTTATTTTTGTCAAATAGGATCGCCTAGCAGCTATCCGCCGGAAAATACGTCGCGTTACACGAATCATCGATGGCGTAACGAAAATGACAAACACTATAATATGGTATGAGGTCTTATGTCAGTTAAATAGCATCACCATACCAGTAATTATTTCATGGTTGCAACTTGCGATGTCATCCTGCAAACAAATTTGCTATGGGTGACTTTTTAACCGACTTCAAAATCTAAAAGGAGGAGTTTATAAGTTCGACGGCGATGTATGATTTTTTTTATATATGTTCACCTATATTTCAGCCAATTGTTGACTGATATTCAAAAATTTGATTTTTTTTCTACTACTTAATGGACCAAGGTAATACATTAAAGTTTATAGAAAACAAATCAGTAGTCTTACATTTATAACAAAAAAAAAATATATCAGATATCGCCTAAATATTTAATCAATAAGTTTAAATAAATCGATATCACAGAAAAATCAAAAGCATATTTTGCATTCATTAAAATTCGAAATTTTGGAATTCGGAAAGGAAGAATTTCTTTGTTCAACGGGTATGTATATTTTCAATGTAAATAGGTATGTGCATCGATTTCTTTTTGAATTGGACGTAGTTAATCAAAAAGGATCCATCCCACACAATGTCACTTTTGAGATATAGACGATTGAAGTTTAAGCTGTATTTTCATGTTGATTTAACTTTTTTGTGTATTATATATTTATATAATAGCGTAGAAAACCACTTACATTATCTAATTTTAATGTCATTTTAACAGAACTAACAATATTTATTAAAATATTAAGGTTAAAGTATTTTTAGATCCTTTTTGATATATTTCGGTTTTTATTACCTTATTCTTACAAAACAAATATCAAAAAGGATCCACATTAAGAAATAATAGAATAATTCACTGAAACGCCAAAATTTTATCGTATAAACTATTTATTAAAGGTTCTTTGTATTTATTGTTTAAATTTTTAATGTCAAATGTATTCTCACTATCTAAAATTACCTTCTTACACCTTTTAATAAAATTACCTTTTAACAAAAAAAATTCAAGCGTTTTGAACCTTTATTGTGATTTTTAACCAAGATTAGTGCCTTTAATTTGCAATTTTACTATATAGATCCAAGAAGCTTGAGTCGTTTTCATGGAACTAAAATATGAACCCACCAAAGATGTGGGATGGTAACTACCATTGAAAAAACGTCAAATATTAAATACAGCTCAGAGCTCTTTTCCTATATGAAAGTATAGATCCCGATGGACATTTTGCTATTTATATTAAGTAAATTATAGCTTATGTCCCTCGCGTATTATAGGTAAAGCTTTTTGAAAAAAAAATTTAAACGTCTAATAGTTTCGGAGCCTATTCAATGCAAGCAAACAAGCAATCAAATCATTCCTCTTTATAATATGAGTGAGTATAGATATGTATTGAAAAAAAATATGTCGAGCAAATAAATATAATCTCCTTTCCTATGTTGACATATTTTTTCATATACTTATTCAATTACCTTTTTACCTTTAAAAAAATATTAATATCACAAAATAACATAATTTATATATTTTTTTAAATAGAACTGTCTTCATTCATTAAAAAGTATGAAATAATACAAGAAACTGCTATTGAAGTCGGGCAGAGGTTAATTAGGTTATTAATTAAATGATAGCTGCCCGAAAAATTATATTCAAAGCAGATTTTGTAATTTCAGGACATTGATTTCTATTATTTGAATATTTGAATAGTAAAATTACTGAGAATAGGTAATTTAAAGAACAATTTGCCTGAAAAAATTATACACTCGGGTAAGGTGTTCTTATGCTATTTATGTATGTAATTAAAAATTTAACTAGAATACACAAAAAATGTGAAAAACAAATACCATTCAAAGTTAACATTTAAAATATTCTGAAGAATTTTGTCTTATACTGAACACAAAAGTAATAAAGCTATACACGTCAGAATGTCTAAATATACAAAATATTAATTAAAAATAATTCTTATTAGTATATTCATACGATTCTTCAATATGGCATCAAATTACATAAACCCATAAGGTTATTACACCGAACAAAGCTTTTATAATGGAAGTTACAAATTACTTTTCCCACATACCCTTATAGTAATTTTATCTTTTGTGTGCAAACAGTATCCATTACTTATTCAATTTGCGGAACCTATGAATGAGTCCGCGTCACAACACTTGTAAGCTCATTGGTGCGTGCATTCCATTGATTGCGGTAGTAGATAACATCTAAATAAGGGATGAGTTTTGAGCATCCCCTTCTGGTTAATTTCATTAGGCGTGGTTTATAAAGTATCTGGCCCACCTCCTTTTGTTGCTGTTAGATTTATGAATAATCCCCTTTTAATGGTTTTCAAGTTAGTATTACCATGGAGCTCTCTCCGATACAATCCAGTGCGAAGTGTAGCAGTTCCGACTTTAGTATAGACCGCATTTTAAGCAATGAATCAGGGAAAAATAAGGAACAGAAAATTGAACCACCAAGTTGGTTGTGTTGTACTCGTTACCAGCCGCCTCGACTTCCACGTTAGTATGATTTTTCTTAATCGAACAGTTACCTTCAAATATTTTGTTGCTAATGATTATATCGTGTTAATAAGGTATCGTGTAAATGCCTTAAATTATTTTTCTAATGTGTTCTAATAGTATTGAGATGTTTGCCCTTTTAAAAAGAACGGTTAGTTAATTATTTAGTTAACTTGGCCCTGCTAAGCCAAAAAAAAACTTTCAAAAATCAACAGTATAATTACGTGTTTATACCTTACTTTAAATAATACCGTGATTTTTTTGTTTGCTTTATCCTTCTTAATTGATTGGTACAGAAATTAATGACCTTCTTAATTGATTGGTACAGAAATTAATGATAAATCTGTGACTTGGGCGGTTCTCCTCGCAATGGGTGTTGGGCGTAAGGTGAAAAATTTATTAACTGTTCTGCCATAGTTCTTGTAGAAATGACGGTCAAGCCATATATTTTTCACAAGGTGTAAAGTTTGAGTTTGTAAAGCGTGTAGAGTTGTGTCAATTGAAAAGGGTGAACGATACTAAAAGCTGGTACAAGATGCAGTGGCGAACTAACCTCATCGGAGTTCCCGGGTCGTCAATAGGCCTGAATAAGTTTTTATAAGCGGGGCAGACACTTTTTACAGACCAAAAAACCAGACAAAATTGATTATCTGGACGTTATTTATTAATAAACATAAAGTCTTTCAACTGTTTTAAATAAGTTTTGTTCATTATTTTACTCAGTCTGTAAATAATTTACAGACTTAAAAAAATAATTTGCAATTAACACTCAAATTAAAATGAATATTATACCTAGGTTAGGCACTTAATTAACTTTTAATTTATCGACGAAGGAAGGTTTCCAATTCGAAAGAGTCAAAAGGAGTTAACTAAACTGTAACTCGTATACCACCAGCTAAATATTATTTTTAGTATTTCACAAATGTTTTGGTATTTCAATTTGATAGTTATTACGGTGCGTAACGCATCTTCCCTGGGTCACAAAAAAGGCTATTTCAATTTGCGACCTTAGGGGGCGTGTGTCTTAAATTTTTCCCACTCAAGCGGTCGAGCTGACCGTCGAGTTTTGGCTAGTTGTTTATTCGTTAACATCGATTGGAGCTACAAGTCTACAGAAGTATACATCGTGATTGTCGTTGTATAAATTATTAGTAATTTTAATTAACTATTTTAAGATAAATAATAAAACAAGATTATCTTTTGTCAACCTTTATTTTTGTGACAATGATGAGCGTAGGTTCAGCGAGTGCGTCGTGCCGGTCGCGACGGTCGGGTCGTCACGCACGGGTGCCGTTCACCGCTGCGCAGGCGCAGGCGTTGGAGGCCGCGTATACACGGTCGCCTTACCTCGCCCCGCCAGCTTTGCGTGCCCTTGCTGCTGCACTACAGCTACGTGATGATCGGGTGAGGAACTTTCACTAAGTAGTACTAGTAGCACTAGTAGTTATTAGCTAACTAACCTACCTAACATAATAGATTGGTCATCTAGTGAGGTGCTTTTTAGTGCTTTCTGTTTTTTCTTAGAATACTTCCTCATTACGCTCAACAATCACTACCGTTAAAAAATAAACATTGATTGACGAGTATTCTTATTTAGTGGTATATATAAACAAGGTTTAGTTTCTGAGTAAATATACGCTAAAATTGCAATTTTAGTAATTATCCAAATTCATATTATACAAAATATAACCTTCGAGGAGTAAATATTACTCCCGAAGAACCTCGTACTAGGTAAGTAAATCTTTGCCAAGTCTCTGTTTATTAATATGAATTTTGACTAATACTAAGTGCAGTCTCAGCGTAAATTTACTCCAACGTGATTGATTTGGATTATGTCGAGACCACACACAATTTTTGTTGTTTTCGATTATCATTGTTAAGTTTTCTTGTTACTTGTTATGTTGACCAAATAGCAACCGCTATTCCGATTTTCACGACATGTAAACCTTATTTCACTAAAAATAAATATATCTAATGTTTCTCATTCCATTATTACTTTTTGCTTTGTTTAAAAAAATGTTATTATTACAAAGCAAATGCTATTTCTTCATATTATTCAATATATCTCAATATTAACATACAAAAAGTTATTAAATTATTTTAACAATATTTTGGGGATTATTTATAGATATTTCAATAATTAATATGTAATAATTTATCTCTTATATTTTGTGCTAACTATACTTTCTATTTTTAAATGACATCACGCGGATGTTATTTAGTCAAGATTCCAGCGCATAAGCAATTTACGGGACTTATAAGGAATAATGTTACAAATATATAAAACTTTTGCATTTTTATGTTTTATTGGTGTTAATTCTACTAACCACTTATGAATTAAACTAAAAAATAGGTAACCTTAGTTTGGACTTCTTGTTACGTTATTTAATAGCCATCTGTAAAAAAATATTAATGTGCTCCTGTATAGTAAAATATAATACGTTTACTTCTATTCCTTTGACCAGAAGTAAAGGTATATATTCCTCGGGTTCATATACGGGGCTCCGTTGATTGGTCCAACGGAGCTCCGTATATGAATGGGTCCCGACTGTTAATCTTTCTATTCTGATTTTGAATTTTTGATATGTTTTATATGTGTATTGACTTAAAAACTATTTCAATGGAGCAGTTATTCCTACTGGACTTGTTCTTTTCTTTTTAGTGAAAGTAATTAATATATCTTTTACTTCTTTTTTAGTTTTCACGCAATCGGGTTTTTTGTTTTTAAAATATTTTTTTTATTTTACACTTTTAGTTAGTTCTCATTGACTTGATTAATTATTCTTAATATAAAATGCTTAAAAATCCACTTGGTCCCAAGTTTCAATATTTGTAACAATATTTCTTTCGGCTGTTTGGGTGGATGCCTGAATATTGATGAGAATACGCTTTGTAGTAGCGAAAAGTAACAAGTGCTTGAAACATTCGTCAGTCCTGTTAGGTCTTGGGTAGCTCAATGGTTAGAGCAGTCGACCGGCTTTGGATTTTTTAAGCATTTTGTATTAAGAATAATTTTCAGTATGTCATTGAAAATGCAAAATTAATCAAAATATAATTGATTAATTATATTAATAGAACTATAAGACGGTAAATTTCGCAACCTTGTCATTTCATTGAGGGAGTTTATATCGTGAGCATTATTAAGCAACTTGTAGTGGTCTAACCTACTGATTATTATTAGTCCCTCTAGAGATCGCACTCGACCTACATATGCTTAACCTTTAGCAAAAATTCGCGAACTTATGTCAACCACAGCTCGGTCCAAAGTAGTTCTTGGCACTTAAACTCTTAATAATTTGCGAACGGCCCACTATATCTAAAAACGGTCGTCACACACTTCAAATATTTTTGAAAGACCTATCTAACAGTATCCCACACTATAGGGAAATAGAATATATAAAATATTATCCCCAGTTTTCATGTAGAGAAGGTAGGAAGGTAAAGCCTTTCAAATAGTTCGAACCTAATAATCATTTTTGGAATACCTAATCAACCTAAAAAAGACGAAGTATACCTAATAATCATTTTTTAAATACTTAATCAACGATCCCCGTTTGACACGGTTGGTCGGTTTTGTTATTCATTGTGACAATATATAGCGTCTGGTAGTTGCTATGGTGAATTTTGATTACTGGGGGCCAATTCTACTAAATAAATTTTGTTTAAATCGAATCGAAAACGGAACGAAACCGAACAATACTACAACTTTTAGTGGTTTTCCTATTCTACTCGGTGTCAAAATGGCGTCAAACGATACAGTTCCGGTTCTATTTTAGTTTAGTTAACTATCGATCGACAGAAACTGTAAACGGTATTCTACTCGCTCAATCGAACATAGAACTATATAGATGTAGTTATGCAAACCGGAACCAACCCACAAATCTGTCAAAATCGAGTTATGTGCAGAGAAGCCTAAAAGTGTTGCAATTAAACTCACATGTTGTAAATTCACAAAACTTCTTGATAAATAAATAAAATAAAATATATTCTACAATAAATTATAAGTAAAAACAAGAAACCCATTTTTCTCAAAACTGACATCATGTGGCTGGTTTGCATAACTACGTCCATATACTTGAGTCGATCGTCGGCCCGTCGGCCCTTATTCCACTAAAATTTTGACACTTCGTTGGATCGAAACGCTACTGAAATGTTACTAAATCCGAACGTTTCATCTGTCAAAATTAACGATTTCTAAAAAGTTGCAAATTTCTACTTTTTCATGATCGATAGTTAGCGTTTAATGATAGATGTGAAACAATTTATATTATTTAAAATCTTAAGAGGTGCAATTAGGTACCCCCAATTGCTGAGTGAAATAAAATACCTTGATCCATCTTCATAATTGATAATTAAAAACATTTTGCCCTACAAAAGTAACTTCGGCAAACATATTTGTAGTGTTTGTATAGAAAAAGTTTTTATCTCGGTACATTGGAGAGCTGTGAAACCTGTTCTTCGGTACCTGAAGGCTATAAAAAATAGGAAACTGACCTATAACAATAGTGGTGATCTAATCGGATTTGCTGATGCCGATTATGGTGGTAATCTGGTGGACAGACGATCCTATACAGGATATGTTTTCCAAATGTGTGGTTCAGCAGTGTCATGGGAATCACGTAAACAGAGAACCGTTGCAACATCAACAACAGAAGCTGAGTACATGGCTCTAAGTGAAGCCTGTAAGGAAGCCATCTACATTCGCTCATTACTAAGCGACATCTTTTGCTTTTCGTCACCCATCACCATTAATTGTGATAATCAAAGTGCCATTAAATTAACAAAAAACAACATTCATCACGCCCGCACAAAACATATTGATATTAGACATCATTTTGTTCGTGAGTCTATATCCTCTAAACAAGTCAATGTGTCATTCATACCATCAGCTCACCAAACAGCAGACATTCTCACAAAGCCACTGCCTAAGCTGAGACACTATATGTGCCTAACTAATTTAGGATTAGTTTAGTGTTATTTGTTTTGTGTTATTAGGTTAATTAGGTTAGGGCATCAGTGTTAAGGTACCTTTGATATAGTGTTTTTGTACATACAGTGTGTTGATATAAAGGGTGTACATAAGTGTCCTGATGACAGGGAGGTGTAGATAAAACCTTTTTCTATATTAATCAGACACTGGCATCTTTTCGTATACCTTTTTGAATTAGTATTTTATACATTGTTTTTTGTTTTTTATGTCACTCTCTTCTTTACTCTCATCTGACTTTTATGTATTTACAATGTGAAATATATTAAATACTCCAATCCACTGTGACTCTTAATTCCTACATTTTAAGAGTTTGTGAGTGAGTTATCAATAGACTGTAAAGAACATAATAAATTGTGTAAATCCATTGATATGTTTGCTTTATCATTAATTATTTATAAAAATACCTTATATTAAGGTACCAAAAAATTTTAATCTTTAACTGTCTAGCACTTCAAGTATATAAAATTTTCTATCCAATATTATTTATTTCACAAAGATACAAGGATACTTTCAATGAGCACCCTGACGTCTGAAGTAAATATACAAAATCTGGGTATCAAACACCAGATTCCTCATCTACCTCATGAGAACATAGCAATCCATATGATATAAATTATGTAAAATTACTAGAAAAAAAATGAAATCGAAAACTATGGAGCTAGATAAACAAGTGTGATAGTGCATGCATATGTTTAATAAACTTTTTATGTACACCATTTCATCTATTTGTTATAGATAGTTCTGTAATTTTGTGGTTGCTTATTGATATGTAAAAATGTTGGCAGACTTTAAAAATAAAATAAATTATATCTTGATTATTAATCTTAAATTATTATTTTTTATTAAAAACTTAAATTTTATAGATAAATTAATAGGTTTTCATTTCTCCATAAGGTCCACCTAGTTGAGGCATATAATGTAAATTAAAATCAATAATTATATTTCTGTTAAAACTTTACATAATTATAAACAATCATTGTAAATAGGAACATTGTAAAAATCATTATTATATTGTAGGGGCTATTGGCTTTAAGTAAACTTATCTATGATTATAAAAACATGAATTTTTGAATATTTTGTATTGAAAAAAGTAAACTATTGTAGTATTTTTACAGGAAAACTTAAAAGTGTGTATTTACAAGCATGTGTGGAATTCCAATAAAAATGGCACTGAAAAAGTCCTTGTTTAAAAATTAATTAATTTATCATTATTTTTTCTGATCACTTGCATTTGCAATACTATATTGATATTTATCTTAAAGGAAAATAATTAAAAAACCCACTTCAAGCAATTAGTGCTTGAGGTGGGATTTAAACCCATAAACACTCACAGTCTGGGCGTCTGCTAAAACCAATTTAACTACCAGATAACCAGCAGGTTTTGTGAATTTAAGAATTACCTGCATTACTAGTGAGCATATGCTCATTTATG